TAAGAAGACAGGCTGAGAGAGTCAGGGTTATTCAGCCTGGAGAAGAGATGGCTCTGGGAGAGACCTTATAGCACCTTCCAGTACAAGAAGACTGGAGAGGGACTTTTACCAGGGCATGACAGGACAAGAGGGAATGGTTTTAAACTGAAAAAGCACAGGTTTAGATTAGAAATCAGGAAGAAAATCTTTACTGTGAGGGTGGTGAGGCACTGGAACAGGCTGCCCAGAGAAGTAGTGAAGGCCCCATCCCTGAAAGTGTTCAAGGCCAGGTTGGATGGAGCTCTAGACCAGGTTGCACAGTAGAAGGTATCCCTGCTCATGGCAGAGGGGCTGAACTAGATGATCTTTAAGGTCCCTTCCAAACCAAACCATTCTATGATTCTGTGACATTGGAACTTCAAAATAATGATGGCATTACACTTAATTCTAATAAGTTTTAGGAACTATGGACACGATGTTGTAGCCAAACACCTGCTTTTCTAGATGCCTGAACAGTATTTAAAATCCAGCTTCAACAGTTCAGCTGAACAAAGACCACCTCTAATGGATCTTGGCTCAGTCCAAAAATCCAGCCCTCTCCCTATGGTGCAAGATGAGCAGCACTAGCTTAGTTATAACTCTCGCTTTCAGATATATAAAGATCTTTCAGCTGCAAAAATCCATGTCCTAGACTGATAAAATTATTCCATTTATGATAAGCTATCTTTAAGAACCTTTTTTGTTCATCCAAATCTCAACTGTACATCTTTCTGCTCTTGAACCTACAGTGCAGGTAATAGTTAATACCTGCCTCAGGGATATCAGTGCCAAGTAGGTGGCACCTTCACCTTCTTTTTTTATTTTGATAGCTGAATATTTGCCCTTTCAGTTGGCAATTCTTGTGATACTCAGAGCCAAAAAAAACTTAGCAGAGTCTGCTTTTTGGACAATTATAAGATAATGAAAACAAGGTAAAACTGGTCCAGGAAGGGAATAAATCGCACAGTCAGATAGAAGCAATGACTGCTGTGACCTACTCAGTTTTTGTATACTTAAGGCATGTAATTCTATGTTAACAAGCATTCCAGCTTCTTCACATCCCCTTGAAAAAAATAAAAGCAAATCAGTAATAATTAGAAAATAAGTTTTCTTTCCCATTTTGCCTTTGCACTTCACCATCTGTTCTCTATTAACTGCTCTCTTCATTTGTTTGCTCAATCTTCTCTCTTGAGCAGATAAAAGGGTTTCATTAAAGCAAAGCCTAATGCTGTCAGTGGCAGGAGAACTGCCAACACTGGCGGTTTTAGTAAGTCAATTAAGGTGACCTAAGCATGCTAATACTTAATTAATTCTTTCTACTCACAGCAGTCCTTTGCAAATGTTCCTTTATCTCATATGAAAAACTAAGTTATGCAAGTCAAATGACCAGACCCCACGCTCCACCTTTATTTATATATACACATAGTCGTGTCCTAAGAGGAGCCGCACATAGTATCAATTGCAATCTCCACTGTACCAGAAGTACTTCTTGAGATTACAGAAAGGACTAATAACAGCTTCATGAAAGTATTCTGATTATTAAGATGAAACCAGTACTGGACAAACAAACCAGAACTTTTTTTCATGGATTTCCTGCCGTAACCCATTTGCAGAGCAGATGTTCTAAAAGAAGGGCACTCGTTATACCTATTTAATATAATTTATCTCTAATTTATCCAGAAGGCAAATAAACCCTTCCAGATTCCAAAAATCACTACCATCTTCTGTCATTACCATAAGCACTAAATATGGTAGAAAAATACTCTGAAGAACAAGTGAACTATGTAACAGCACCAGTTGGCATCATCACTTACAAAGGAAAAGCCTGTATCATCCTTAATATCATTTTCCATCATTCAGTGCTCCATAGCTCCAGCAATTACTTAATTTTTAATTGAAACAGAGTTTTGAGAGCAACAAAGTACTGAACCTTCATCTCTTACCTCAGGTAAAAAAATTTGCAGCAGTAGAAGATGACTGACTTCTTCTCTCCTGAAAGGTTAAAGAAATTTGGGCAATATAATAAATATTGGCGCAGAGGGTGGGGAATAGGCAGCTCCCTGATATCTAACAGGAAACATACTCAATAAGCAGCATGATTTCTTGAAGTGAGCATTTGCCTGAGAGTTACTGACAGCCAAGTGCATAAATGATGGTGGAGTAGTCCCACAGCATCATTTCTCCAGCCATAATAGAAAATACTGGCTCACAAAGGTGGATTTTGTATTTATTCTGTTTCCAGGTTTTGCAAAATTTACTAGAAACCTTACTCATTGTAGTTCATATGGATGGAAAAATCAAAAAAACATCCTGGTTCTGTGAATCAACAGGACCATACTTTATAAACTTCCCAGTAAGAAGAAAAGACCTCTTCTTTGTAAGGGTTTGGCAGACAAAAATTAATCACCACATATTTTACTTTACTTAATGTACCATTTATATACCAGCTACTGCAGTGAGGTCAACAATGTATTAGCAACTTTGCACAGAAGTAGAACTTCAGAGGAAAATCAACCAGCTCCATCAGGTGTCTTTTTGCATCCCCAATGAAAGAGAAATTATGCTGAAGCCATCTATGGCAGGTGGCAATTAAGTTCCTTAGTCATAGTTGTGGTGAAGTCTTCATATAAGACAGTGATGAATTAGGCTTCTTTGCAATCACCTAAGTATACCCCTAAGCAATCCTCCATGATATTTCATTAATTTACTTTCTAATCTTCCAGGGCAAACCAGTATTTACACTAGATAACACAACATCCTGCAGACCTCTTCCAAAATGACTCAGTTCTGCTGCTCTGCTGCATGGAAACACCCACGTGTCAGAGAACAGAAAATACAGTGAGTGAGAGCATGAAGAAGCAAAGCAGATTATCTCCTCTGAATAAATTCAGTTGACAGAAGAAAAACATGGCAAAACTGTTTCCTATTCTTATAAATAAATACTTTAAGAATCTCATGTGAATGATCCATGTGATGCTGATTAATGCACTCAGGTAACAAAAGAGGACCTCAATCCTTCTGCCCCTAAATTCAGATCTAAGAGCTCAGTTTTCTAGGATGACACTGGGTATTTCTGAACTCTTATTCGTTAAGCATATAGAAAACAGCCCCACAAATTAAGGACCTTGACAAAAATCTAGTGTGCCACAGAAGGTTATGCAAATACAAGGGGGAAAAAAAGTAGAATCATCACAGAGAAGATCAATGTATTTTATAACTTCTCTAGTGTCATCTTGCTAGCAGGTGATTCCCCTTGTGGAGAAAAACATAAGAAAGGACTGTGTGTAAAGAAGATGTGACATCTGTCCTCCAACTTATTTTAGTATAAAAACGGTAAATTTTTAGTAGCTAATACCATTATCACTTAAAAATCCCTGTATTTGTTATTGAAAAACCTGATATTGTTCCAAAAATAAACATGTAAAAAACTGCTAACATTTTTCCTTCAATTACTATCTCTTGGTACCATCAACATAAAGGTAAGAAAGCAATAAGGCCATTATTTAATAAGAAATTTACATGGGGTTTGTGCATAGCTGTTGATTTATGTAAGTGAACTTTATACTGCTAGGCAACATGATTAATATACCAGAAAAGAAGATTAAAAGTAGGCCAGTGATATAGGACAGTGGTCCTTCCAACTTGCCTCCCTGCCTCCAGCTTGAAGCATAAAGTTCATTCCTAGTATTCTAGAGCACTAAATAACACTGTAACTAGACACAGAGGACAAAAATCATTCGACATTATCCACCCTTGATCTTTACACAAAATTCCCATGACATCTATAGAACTTCCACAGCTCTACAAACCACAATAAGGTCCATGGGAAACACAGCTTTCAGGATTTCCTCTTCAATAAATATCACAAGCATAAGAGAGACAGCAAATGTTAACACTTTAATTTTTTTTGAACATATAAAGGTTACAACTTTATGAAACAATTCATTTAGAGCCATCTTGTGGGGAAAATAAGCAGTTTAAAACAATGAATGTAGTCTAATAGGTTTTCTACGAAAAAGAGTTCACTATGGCATCTTCTAGTCCTCTTTTAAAAAAATAAATGCTTCAGTTGCAGTGTAAACTTTATACAATTTTGTTTAATCCCCTAGAGCATAAAGGAAGAGCCTTTATGAACAATCACATGTTAAAAGATTGATTCTAGATAGAAAATATATATCATTAAGTTAAAGATGCCATTTTTATGAAGAATGCTTATAGATCAAATTCTGTTCAAACTTGACCCAACTACAGCCCACCAAAAGAGTGCAAAAGCCTAGAGAAGCTGATGTTTCTTACAAAGCCCACTTGGCCAAATGACTAAACTGGATAGAATTATTCAATCTAACGAAGATGAGGTTAAAGAAAGGCGAAATAGATCTAACTGCAGTAGTAGATTTAGCACTTGAACCTGAAAAGTTTTCATTCTCAAATATCATTAGCATTATCAATGTATTTAAAGTTTTGGTAACCTTTTGCAAGTTGTGAAGGACTTTAAAGTAGTTGTTTATACACAACTCATTACATGGCAGATTTCTGTTTGTATAAACTTAAGTAAAGTACAGCCTTGGGCAGTCAATTTCAGTATAATTGGAAGTCATGACACAGACTTCAGCTACCTAGAGCAATCAAATATCAGCTGCTGCTTGATTTATGTGTCTTCTTCGAAGCAAAGTGCTTAAATTTTATCCTAGAGAACCAAAGCGCACATGTAGTCCATATATCTTATTTGGTTTTAACTTATGCCCTATTAAAATACTTCATTTACATAGAACATTAATGCATATCACATCACATTTATCCAATACATAATTATCTTCTATTAATACAGAAGTAAAACAGGACATCACAGAACACTTTTACAAAGCGCACAATCAAGAGGTGTCACAGAAATACGCTTTCTTTCGGAGCTGTTCCAATCAGTGTATATTATGGACTAGCAGGCACCTCTGTTATATATGGTCTTTTTTTTTTTTTTTCAAATAAATAAGGAAATTTGACAACAAAAGGGTCCTATGGTACCCAAAACCTCTGACAGCTGTAACTAAACAGAAGACACTGGCACTCAGATGTATAGCCGGACAGTTTTGCTAAGGCAAGCACAAGTATGTTAACTTTTACTTTTACACTTCTACCAAACTCTGAACAAAAGAAGGCGTGCATGTGCGCTTACAGCTTTCCTTCCTCTTTTAAAAGAATAGTGAGATCCACTTCCTCCACACCAGCTTTAAACTTTGGAAAGGAGCCCCGACTCAGGGGCACTCGCCTTAATGAGATTTTGGATTTCTTTGAATTTTGGATGTTCTTTATCAGCTACCAGTTGCAGCAGTATTGCTTCACTAGTAGTAACTATAATTCCAGTACGAGCAAGACGCTGAAAGAAAAAAAGAGCAGAGAGGGAATAATGTGAGATATTTGCAAATGTGAATGAGTACACATTTTGTAAAAGACTGATGGCATTTTTAAAAGCATCCCCTATTAACAAAAGTACTGCCAATTCCATTCCAGCATTTCTTAGCGGTATCATTTATAAAGCTAGGATGAAAAGTGAGTGTTTTCAGACTTTCCTGAGGCGAAAGGCTGCCCTGGATTACAAATAAGGCTTCCTACTTGGACTGGATTCTTTCCCCATGTCGGATTTAATAGGCAGCAGACCCACACCTCTTATATTAACAATCCTTTCCCCTTGCATGGTCCAGAGGACAGCTTTCTTCACTTTTATGCAGATTTGAAAGGTCTGGGAAAGAAGGTAAAAGCAAGGTTCAAGCTAAAAGCATTAAGCAATAAATTGCAACAATTTCTCTTTCAGGGATTATTATGTTCTACTACTTCAGCCTTTGGACTACACAGCACACTAGTTGTAATAATCTCTGGAAACAGAAGGAAAATTTCTTCTACAGACATCGTAAATCACACTGGCAGCTCTTTTTGACCAATGGTACATTACAGCCTCAGTAATTCCAGAGTTAGTTCTCTCAGGCTACAGAATAAAATGCGTAACTGCATAGAAAGCAAAAGTGAAAGAAGTGTAAGTGTGCAACTCAATAGAGCAATGCTTTATGCCATTCAAGCCACGGGACTTATTGAAAAGTTTTTGGACTCTTAAGACTGTGGTTGTTGCCTACATAGCAAAGTTATCTTCAACAAAGGCTGACCACCCCATGCCCCTCATCATCTTCCCAAGAATCCTACAGCTGCTTAGGCAGTAAAACTCTTCATGGATCCAGGTTTTCCTCCATGACACTCTACTTAGCTGCATGCTCCACCAAACCTTATGGGGTCCTGAAGGAGCCAAGGGAGGACAAGAGGCAGAAAATACATATATGTACATATAGGTTTCAATTATAACCATTAAAGAAAAGAGAAGCTCCAAACTTTCTAGGGCATAGATCACTGCTGTTTGGTTGTTCAATTACAAAGCAGTTGATGGGGGAAAGTTATTACAGGACCAACCAGAAAAGTGTATGTAACAATCTACATAACAAACTAACCAGACTGGCTTTACTCAAGTCAATGCTTCCTGCTTCCTACAGTTGCAGCAACCCTTGCAAAATTCTTAGGCTGAAACAAAGCAGCAC